CACAAAAATCAACAAGATGAGGTAATTTCAGAAAACTTTAGTGACATAGTAGTTTAAATACAATACAGTGCAATCTAAAGTGAAACCAAAACAAAATAAATACAAATGGAAAAACATTCATCATTTATGCAAATAGAGTCCTCTTTCACATCCAATATTTAAAAAGGAACAGAAATAGAAGTATAGGTCAGTGGTGAACACTTGTCTAGCATGTACAAGGCCCTGGGTTTGATCCCCAGCATGACTTTGGTACACGCTATTTCCTGGCTCCATAATCCCATTTCCTCTAATTGTTGAAGGTACTGGATTCATCTGCTTCACATTTGTACGCACCACCACCACAACAAAAGACCAGTTCCTATCATCTGCTCTTCTAAATATGGTACTAGGATAAAAAAAAATCTAGCACTTTTCGATGCAGGCAACATCATACATTACAAATGGCAACAAAATTGGGCATGGTGATTCACACGTGTAATCCTAGCACTCTGGTAAACTGAGGCAGGAGGAGCCTGGTTCCAGCCTGGGAAACCTAACAAGACTTTATCTCAAAAGAAAAAACAAATCAGGTATACACTTGTAATCCTAGCACTAGAAGGCTAAAGCAGAAGAAATGCCACAAGTTCAGGGCCAGCCTGGACTACACAGCAGGACCCTGTCATAACAAAACAAAAACAAACAACAACAAAACAGTTGACATATTCAAGGGTGACTGGAACACATAAGGATACCTACATTTTAAAGTATATGAAGTAATGTCTTAAGTAACATATTAAGTAATGTCTTAACACATTGCCATTAATCTGCCTCAAAATACTTCCCTTATTTTGAACACACTTATCCTATCATTCTTGTCACTTTCTGAACCAGTTCTGGAAGTCCTCTTTCATGAGTGTCTTTATGAGATGTGACCAAAAATATGAATGCTGTTGCCAAGTGCCGTCCAATGAAAAGGCAGGCTAATAAAAGCATTACAGTGTGTCCTCCTCCACCTTATTGATCAAGCACCATGAAACTACTGGTTCTTCCCCAAAGTCAAAATGCTCATGAAAGATAAATGTTTTTGGGGCTGGGGATTTAGCTCAGCGGCATAAGCACCTGCCTTGCAAGCAGGCAGTCGTGAGTTCGATCCCTGGTACCGATAAAAAGGAAACCGACAAAAAAAAAAAAAAAAAAAAGATAAATGTTTTTTATCTTTGAATTGATTCAGGACATGGATGTAGTCACAGCAAAAAACACAAAACAGGTCTTCACCCCAAGTGGCAAGAATCACATGGCAAGTGCTTTCTAAGTGAGGGGGAGTACTTCGAGGGGTCTTAATGTCTTTTATTGTCATAACTTTTTTTTTTGGTACTGGGAATTGAATTCACAACTTTGCACTTGGCAGGCAGGTGCTTATGCCACTGAGCTAAATCCCCGGCCCCTTTAATAACATTTTTAAAAACATTCACCATCTATTTAGATTATACCTCATACATAATGCGGACATGGCCAAAAAGCAGCTTTCTAGAGTGTGTGAGACACAGGAGCCAAAAAGGAAAATAAAACAAAACAAAAAACACTTATTGGAGGGAGGGGAGGAAGGCAGCTAATTTCATAAGCTTATCAAAGGGCAAACATCCTCTTTTTCTCTTTTGGTTTCTAATTTTCACTTATCTGGTGAAACCAAGTAAATTTACTGGAATTAGATCACAATAACGAATAGTATCTCATGGCTTACAGAATTGAATCTTATTACCTTTAGTCTAATCCTTATTTTATTTTAAAAATAAGTAGATTAAGCCCAAAATAGTATTTTACAAAGTGCAGAGCAAAAATGTGAGGTATTTTTACATGATACATGATCAATTTATACACTTGCTGATTATATATTTTACAACAATGTATCTTAGAAAAAGCTATAAAATACATCCAAATCATGATTTCAATTGTTTCACTACCTAAGAAACCATTTAAAGTATGAAGTAAAATTGGGGATGGAGGTACAGCTTAAAAGTAGGATGACTGCTTTTCATGCTTATGGCTTTCAATTCCCAGCACACTAAACAATAACAACAAAAGTTAAAATAATAACAGATAGCATTTTAAATGGCCAAAATTATGTAGTAGTATGATTCATAAGTGAAGAACAGTTGTGTCATGAGCACAGGGCTGTTTTTGTTTACATGGTTTCTTGCTGCTCTAGGTTGTTTTGAATGATTAGAAAAGATAGGACCTTTAATCAAAGAAGGTTATATACATAAAGTAAATTCATTCAGAGTTTACGAAACAAACACCATGATGCAGACAGAAATTCTACTGTTTATAGAAAGGAGAATAATACTATTAGGAAAATAATGGCACAAAAAATCATTTGTTTTTAGAATTAAGACAGCAAAAATTTTCTAATGCACATCCATATACTCTAGGCAGTCAAAAACAAATGAATAAAAAACTAGCAAGACTGATAAATACTGGCCAGGGATTTGGCTTAGTGGCATAAGGGCCTACTTTGTAGTTGTGAGGACCTGAGTTACATGCTTGGTACCAAAAAAAAAAAAAAAAAAAACCTGATAAATACTTTAACAGCGGGCTAAAGTATATGATCATTTAATTTACTTTCACGTGATCTGTTACAGGACCATGGTAATGTATAAAAAAAAAAAGTGTTGCTCTTATTTGCTACTCATTATACAAATGTGTTCTCATCATCATTTTTTTTTTATGTAAGACAGGCCTCTCCTTATAGTTTAGGCAGACCTTGAACTTGTGTAATAATACTCCCGCTTTAGCCTCCCAAATACTGCGATTACAGGTATGCACCATCATGTCCCACTTCTCATTACTTCTTGTCAAAAGAATGAATGGGAAGTGACCATTAGAAATTTTAGGCATCAATTCTACCAGTGGCAAGAATATGAGATTTTCTTATTTTGCTATTGGTACTCTATAACTGTTGAGGCAAACATGAAGCTCCAGGAGGCTGAAGCAAGAGTATGGAAAACTTGAGCCCAACTTGGGGAACTTAACAGTTTAGCAAGACTGTTTCAAAACAAAACAAAACAAAATTAAAAAGGCAGGAGATGTAGCTCAGAGTGAAAACCCTGGTTCAATCCCCAGTAACACCAAAACACAAAACAAAACAAACAAACAAACAAACAAACAAAAAAATCCAGAACCAAAACAAACAAGCAAACACAAACGATGAGATGAACCATTTCTTTTTCTTTTCTTTTTTTTTTTTTTAATCGGTACCGGGGATTGAACTCACTACAGACTGCTTGCAAGAGATGAACCATTTCTACAGGTCATGCATGCACTACTAATATTGTACTAGTACATCTGAGAATCAGTTTTTTGTTTTATTTTTGAGATAAGGTCTCATTCTCTAGTACAGGCTGGCCTTGAACTCATGACTGTCCTCCTGTCCCAGCCTACTGAATTCTGAGATTACAGTTGTGTGCTACCATATCTGGTGAGAATCAGGTTTTTACAAATTTCATTAATTTTGTGTTATTGGAAATTGAACCTAGGTCTCTCATACTAAACACTACAGTCCAAGCCCATTTTTAAAAATTTTTATTTTGAGAAAGGATTTTACTGAATCACACTGGCTGGGCTCAAACTTTCGATCCTCCTACCTCAACTTCCAAAAGTGCTGGTGTCATAGATGTGTGCCACTGTGCCCAGCCTGAAAATCAGTCTTAAATGCAGCAAGGCAGATGAAGGAGGTCCCTCTCAATTCTTTTTTTTTTTTTTTTTTTTTTTTTTTTGTCTTTTTCCTTTTTATCGGTACCGGGGATGGAACTCATGACTGCCTGCTTGCAAGGCAGGCGCTTATGCTGCTGAGCTAAATCCCCAGACCCTCAATTCTTAAAAATATCTGTTATTAAAAGCAACAGAAGCCGGGCGTAGTGACACAGGCCTGCAATCTCAGCAGGTGGAAGGATGACGCGGGAGCATCGCGATGAGTTCAAGCCTTGTCTGGGCTACATAGTTCAAAACCAGCCCGGACTATACAGAGTGAGACCCGGTCAAAAAAAAAAAAAAAAAAAAAAAAAAAAAAAAAAAAAAACCGCTACAGTATCTCACAAGTTTGAAAATACAGTATCCAGACTCCTTTCTCCCAGCCACAATCTCTTCTCTCACTCCCAACCTAGGTGATGAGTAACAACAAATGCTAAAATGACAACTCTGGTTCTTTCCCCAACTTTGATGTCTTTCGGTTTCTTTTACCATCAGCTGACTTTCCTAAATACCGTAATGACTAATAACTAAGGACAAAAGAAGAGGAGGAGGAGAAAAAGAAGAAGACGAATAAGATTTTACAGTACTTTTCTTCCTTACTACTTCAACTCTGAATTGCAAAATTCCTTCATTTACTGATCCTTTGAGCACGTCTGATGAGAAGCACGAAAGTGAGGACGGACTCTCCTAGAGAGCAAGAACTATCCAATGCCAAGAACCTTCAGTGTTCTTTTCAAACAATTCTTTTCTCATCGCGGTGGTCACCACGCAGTCTACCGATTCTGCTCACACCACACGGTGAGGAGGGGAATGCGGGGCTGGGAGCTGATCTCCGGTTTCCAGGAAGAGTCCAGCCACTAGCACCCGCCACACTTCCTCCATTGGTCCCTCCAGCCTCTGGCGTCTGGCGTCCCTGCACGGGCCCAACTGGCCGAGTCTGGGCCGGACCACCCTCAACTCCTGTTAAGCCTGGGCTTTTCAAATGTCATATTCTTTTGCCTCATAATATCCCACACTTTCCCCGGACCGGCTCCCTCAGCCCCACTCCAGGCGGCTCACCGACAGGTTTCCGGCCACTCCTCTCCGGCCGCGGCAGCTCGGACACTAGAGACCAGAACAGGCGCCGCGCCTTTATCGCGCCTGCGCGCATCATTTCTACGCGCCTGCGCACTTCTCCCGCAGCTGGGTCGCAGACACACCTCTACAGCTGGAGCCAATCACGTGCGAGAGGTTTAAATCTCCCTGCCACGCAGGCGGAGAGCCTGGGAACTCACCCGTTAACTCCATGGATTTCCACCCCGTCCGGTGTACAGGAAATAAACGTTTATAGAAGGCAGTCGTGTGTCACATATTGTGCTGAGAAAAAGACGACTACGAAGTCCTGACCTACAAGGTCTTTGATCTGCCTAGATTAAGAGATACATACCTAAATAAAGTATAGTGGGCACATACGGTGCCGGGCACATAGAGAACCCAGCGAGCCTTACAGTGAACAAGATTTTATTCTTAGGGGTGTCTGAAAGACTTAGGAGAGGAAGTGACTTTCTAGAACTGAAAGATAAGCAGTTCTCCCCTGGAAGTCTAGGAGGAAGGGAGGTGGTTTTCCGGGTTGTGAGAACAGCTTAGGCAAAGAACAGCATAATACTTCTGGAACTTTATTGTTAGAAAAGTTAAAGGTTAAGGAGATTCATTATAACGCCCATTCTCGTTGACTTTTCTCTACTTTTGAAGACCTACAATGTCTCCAATGGTTTGGTTTTGTCGGTTTTGTTCTTTACTGTTTTGTTCAATTGTATTAAAACTAATGGTATAGGCAATTCTATTAGAGATAGCGGGAGGCATTATGGTAACCATTATTGATCACCTTGTATTATGTTTTCACATTATCTATTATGTCCACCCTTTTGCCTTGACCGATTCTGTTCTGTTATGTCACATTTGGTTTTACTCTCTTCCAAAAAAGTAATAAGAACCGTGAGAGCAATGAAACCCAAAATGTGTAATAGTCATTGTACAAAAGAGAGGAAAAGAAAGTGCTCTAAACTATATAACTGCATGTATATTTAAGTGTATAAGATAGAATATGATATCACAGAGTTTTATTGGATCATTGAACAGAACTGTTTGCAGTATCATTGATGGAATGTCCACTTTACAAGCTTTAATTTTGTGACTTGAACAATTATTTCTAAGATGACAATATGTAATCCATTAACTAGTGATTTCCTACTGTTCATTTTTTTTCTGCAAATCTGTATAACTTGTACCCTTTCTCTGCTTTTTTTTTCTTTTCTCCTTAAATAAAATTAAAAAAAAAAAAAAAGAAAGAAAGAAAAGTTAAAGGTGTAGAGCTCCTTGTAGGCCCCTGAATGTAGGGGCAAGAGCTTTTCAGTGCTGGCAATGAGCCTAGCTTGATGGCTCAGGTCTACAGTCCTAGCTATTGGGAGGTTTAGGCAGGAAGATAGCAAGTTGAGACCAATCTGGGCAGCATAGTGAGATCTTGTGTCAAAGTAAATTATAAGAATGCTGAGGGTGTAGCTCCGTGGTAGAGCATACTGAGTTCAATCCCTAGCAACAAGGAGTTTGGGAAGGGGAGTTTTAAACAGGTGGATAACTATTTTAAACTTGGTCTGGCATCTCTTCCACACGTAAGAATTTAAAATCCTGGAAATGGGGGGGGGGTGGCATATATTTCTAAGGGCTCAAAGAAGAAGCCTGAAAAATGTCTTTTGAATTTAATAACACAGAGATCATTGGTGATATTAACAGCTGTTTAGGAAAATGAGGAGCTTGCAAACTAGGGTACACTACCTTAGGTGTGGAAACGGGACAAGTTATAAAATGTCTCTGGAAATTTTGGCTTTCACAAGGAAAGGAGAAAATAATGAAAGTCAGGGTTTTTCGGTTTTGCTTTCTATATTTTTGTTAGAGTTAAGACAGGAGAAACATGATAAGATCTAACTGAAAAAAAGTTGAATTAAAGGAGAGACAGGACTCAGAATATAGTTTAGTGGTAGAGCACTTCTTTACAAGAGTTCAGTCCCCAGTACCTCAAAAAAGAAAGGATACTCAATAGATAAAGATCTTGAGAGGATAAGAGTAAAGGAAATTCAGAGCACACTGGGAGAACTGGTCTTGGAAGAAAAGATGAGAAAAGGGAACTACTTCCTCAATTATAAAAATGTGATGGTAAGAAATAACTCCCAATCTTTTAGATGCCTTATGTGTAGAGTTCATGGCCTTATGATATCAGAACCAAAGGATGAGACTAGGAGCGTTTTATTGGAAATAAGAATAGCTGAAGTGGGTAGTTGTATTGCCCCTCAACCCAGCTCTAATTATAAATAAGCAGAGCACAAGAATTGCTTGTTTGTTCAGAGGCTGAATATCACAGATGGCTCTTTGAATTTAAAATGATCAGTTGGAACTCAGGCTTCTAACCCAGTTCCTCTGCATGTAGGGTTTAAAGGAAACTAGGATTTTAGAGAAAAACTGTTTTGTTTGTTGTATTTTTAATTCCTCAAAACTCCGTAGGGGGCCTGGGATTTAGCTCAGTGGTTTAAGCACTGCCTGGCAAGTTCAAGGAGCAGAGTTGATTCCCAGTACCAAAAACAACAACAATAACAAAAACCCCAACTCAGTAGGGAGTGGCTGTACTTCCCTTTACTAAGGAGATTACTGCATTCCATATTGCCTAAGGAAGTTCATCCTTGCTCTGCAATCGAATCTGTCCCTTATTTTGAATTCCATCAATATGGTTGATTATTCAACTCTATCTCAGGCCCTTCTCTAGCTAGCTGCCTCACAGAACAGCTAATTAAATAAACTTTACAGTAAGAGGAAGCTTTTGTAAGTTAGTTTAGTAATAGAAAATAAAGGAAGTTCTCATTTGATGACCTGTATTCTCTGTGAAATAGAGATCATCTGCTGATGAAAAATGAAGATGTTGGGAGTTTTAAGAAATATGAGAAGCTTTAAAGCATTGTGGAAAATGACAATGTTCTGGGTTTCTAAGAACTCCTGGAGACCTTTTTTCTAGGTACTTCTTATCCTGAGCAAAGAATTGGACCAAAAAAGCATAGAAGGTAGTAAGGTTTTGAATTTATTAAAAAATGGGGGAAAATGCTCTGCAGAATGAGCGTGGATCACTTAAAAGTAGAAAAAGATGTGCAGTTTAGAGGATGACAGTGGACCATCACAAAAGAGAGAGCACAGTGGCCAAGAGCCAAAGCAATAATCTTTTGTATCTCCCACCCCTCAGGATGAGGTCAGGTCTAGTCCTATCAAGAACTGTCTTGAGTTCTCCAGAGAACTGAACTAGTATTCTCTGGTGGGTTCCAGATGCAGGGCTTTGGGAACTGTTTTTCTGCACATTTCCTGGATCTATGTTTTTGGCAAGCCATGTCTGCTTGCTGAGGCAGTTTGACTTGCCTTAATCTCCTGTCTCTAGTTGACCAGAGATTAGTAGAACTAGTAGGTAGTGCTGAAGTCTTACTTAACTTTGGTAGAAATGATGGAGATGGTGAGACACACCTGTTAATCCCAAAATTCTAGGGAGGTGAGGCAGGAAGATCCAGCTGAGTGTGGGCAATTTAATGACTTACCATGACATTGTCTCAAAAGCAGAAAAATAGAAATGTAGCTCAATATGAAAGTTCTGGGTTCAATCCCTAGTACCAAAAAAATAAATAGTTGAGATTATGTAGGCCTGGTGGCACACACCTGTAACTGTAGCACTTGGTAGGCTGAGGCAGTAAGACCATGTCAAAGAAAAAAAAAAAAAACACCTGGATATGGTAGTGCAATCTGCAATCCACCGTGGGCAGTTTATGATTTAGTGAAACCCTGGGGTTGTTTACTCAATGTGAATGTCTTGGGTTCAATGTCAGTTAAAAAAATATTGTTAGACATAAACTCACCAGTTTGTATAGCTTCTGCATCCAGTAACCACTTCCTGAAGCCAGAGATAAAGAATATAAATTCATGTAAGGTTGGATATAATTTTATGGATTTAAATCAGGGACAATGTTGTTTTCCAATGAGACATTTTTGCATACTTTAGAAATACTTTTTTATTATTGTGATGAAAGTGAGGGTGGTCTGGAGTATTATTCACATCTAATGACCAGGGATGCTGCTAAACATATTCAGATGCAAGAATAGACCCTGACAACAAGGAATTATATGCTCCAAAGTGTCAGTACACTATGCTAAAGAGTGAGAAATCAGGGGCTAGAGGTTTAGCTTAGCGGCATAAGCGCCTGCGCCTGCCTTGCAAGCAGGCAGTCTTGAGTTTGAACCCCGGTACCGATAAAAAGGAACAAGACAAAAAAAAAAAAACAAAACGAGAAATCCTGATTTAGGGTGTCTCTGTGGTGGGTGGGACAGACATTATAGGATAAACAGTTCCGTGGTTTCATTTTGTTAAGACAGGGTCTCACTTTATAGTTGTGGTGATCTTCCTATTGTGTAGTCTCTTCTAGAAGTGGCTCACCAACTATACATTACAGGGTTCTAGATTGCTTGCCTCTCCTTCTGGAGCTGCACTTCAGGTTCTCATCTCAAACAAAGACTTGAACAAAATGAGCAAAAAAGCAGTGACCAAGTTTGAACTCACTGTGTAACCCAGGTTGGCCTCAAACTCATGGCAATCCTCCTACCTCAGCTTCCCAAGTACTGAAATTACAGGTGTATGCCACCAACCCAGCTCATGTGTGTTTTCAAAGGAGGGTAGAGTGAGCAATACAGCATAGAACCTGAGTGTTTCAAGTACTTGTGATGTCACAATTGCAAAATTAAAAGTTTCCTAAACTTCTAGAAGCAAATATGTATTTACACATAAATGAAAGTAGTTTATTTCAATTTGGGGTATTGAAGGCTGCACTATATGGAGATGTTATAGTTTAAATTTCCTATATGGAAGGAGAAGCACTTTACATTATTATCAACCTTATTGTAATTTTGTTTATCTGAATAGTTTTAGTTACTAAAATAAGGACCCCAGGGAGTGATTGTGGCCTGTTTAATTTTGGATATGGATTACAATATAATCATTAATACTGATGGAATGTCATTATTTATAGATCAACACTTGACCTATACTACACCATTTAATTTTTTTTTTTTTTTTTTTTTTTGTCTTTTTAAGACAGGATGTCACTATGCAGTTCAGGTTGGCCTTGAGCTCACTTTGTAGCCCAGGCTGGTCTGGAACTCACAGTGATTCTCTTGCCTCAGTCTCCCAAGTGCTGCGATTATAGGCATGTGCCATCACTCCAGGCTCTAAATCTTTTTTTTAAGTTTTTTTTTTTTTTTTTTTTTTTTTTTTGTACAGGGAATCAAACTCAGGACTTCATGCTTGCTAGGCAGGTGCTGTGCTGCCGAATTATATCCCTGGCCTGATTTTTTTGCTTTTGCATTTCTAAAAAATTTAATTGGCACATTTTAGA